AATCAAAATCTTTCTTATGACTTTATCAAATTAAATGAACCGAAAATTACTATTTTAAAATCTAGCGCTGTTTTTTGAGTGTTTTTGACAAGCCTTCTAGAAAGTGAGCTGTTATTGTTAAATAAACATTAAAAAATTTTTTATGAACGCCTTTTAAATATGTTACGTCAATGTTAAAAGCTCTATGGAATCATTTGACCTTATTCGTTGCTTGGACATATCTGATATCACTATATTGCTTTTGTTTGAGCCTATATTTTTCGTGCAAGTAACTGATACTGCAATAAAAAGAGAATGGTAGTATTATGAGTAAACAGAGAATAAAGTTATCAAGATAAAAAAAATAATTGAACATTCAGCTGATAAATGAATGCAGGAGAATTTGGCTGAAAATTTATCAATCAGCTTACTTAGTAGGTGAAATACATGAAATAATAACTACCATCATGCACTAAGAGATAACCGATGTTCCAGACATTCATTTGCATTATCAGTTAATTTGATTCAAAATCTTAGCACCAATATTTAAATCACTGATCTTTATTTAACTTTTAGAATTAGGAAAGTTCTATGTCTACCGTAAAAAATGAATGAATAAACAAATGTCATATTATTTAGGATTTGAAAAATATGTTTAAATAAGCCAAAAACCCAAGATTCAATATGTAAAGTTTTTTATTCCTTTTCCAAAATGTTCTCTATGCTTGAATATTATAACTGCATCTGTTAGATGGGATAAGAATACCGCAGCTAGAATCAAAGAGGAGTGAAAAATAGTTACTAAGAGAATTTCAACCTTAAGTCTCAAATCACTACCATGTATGCCACCAGCATTAGCTAACAAACCGTTGCACATAAGAGCCACACATTTCAGAGAAAACTGAAAAGTTTGCAACTTTTCTTTTGGCAAAGAACTTCCAAGGCAAAAAAATACAAATTGAAACTTAAGATACTTCGGCAATCATTGATTAACTTGTGGCTAATTTTGTATTGCTTTGTGCGCTTCAAACTTCAGATGTCTGCTCTAAATTTTGAATGAAGTGAACCACAATATGCATGGGGAGGAATGTGCAGGAAGAAGAAAATTGAAGGGATGAAAAATTAAATCTAGTGAAATGATTTGGAAAAGTTAAAAAATTATGCTATTAAGCTTAATAAAGAAAGCATTATCCGAAACCTACCATCCTTTTGAATTTTAAATATGTAAACTTTAAGAATTGGGATGTTAAAGTACTTCATTTTGCACCTTTTGGAATTTAATTATCGTTAAATTTTACTACACAATTCTGCGATTAGCAATCGTAACAAGCATTAAGTCTTCGAAAAATGCTGCATGAGAAAATGTTCTTAATAAATTATTCATTTCTGTTGTACATGAACCCTTTTATTTGAAGTATTTTTTCAAACTTGAAAATAAATGGTCATATTTTCATAACTGTTTCTTTTTCCATTCAGTTTGAAGTAGACGATCAAAAAGATAGCCATTTCGGAAACATAAATCTGATTCCTAATGTAGTTACCGGTAAATTCGACAATGAGTATTTGTCCAGAATTGGGAATTCATTTCCGGAATCATTAGTTTAATCTGAAGACAAAGGAAATCTTACCTAAATGTCCAGTATTTCACGATAACATAGAAAAAATGAAAGTAAGCCTAATCTACATATGTCGAGGATTTTTAGACCGATATGTATAATAAATGGTAGTATCCCGTTTGGGAAAATTGTGTTTTTTGATAAACAACAAGATGGAGCCCACTCACCGTTATTAAAACGAAACATTAGGGTTGCATAATTGAAAAAAATGGGGTTTTGCATAATCAAAAATATTAATAAATCAACAACTTTCAGATGATTCCAAATCAATTTCTAGAAAACATTTTATTTGAAATTTCTATTTGAAAACATTTTCTTTCTAGCGCAAATTAAATTAGTTCTCAGACTCAAATAGTAAAAATAAAAATATAAATTAGTACGTATAAATGTATTGAAAACCAAAGATTTAAAGTAAAAAAATAATTTGTTTTTATATAAATTTTAAAAGGAACTTCTCATAATAAGACGAAAATTTTAGGGATACATTTAACCAAAGGTAGAATTTTTCAGAACTAAAAAGAAAATGCCAAATTTATGCTAAATCTGACAACCACTGCGCTAAATTTGATTTAAAATGTTTTCGCTATTCAATAAGCAGCGACAATTGAAATATGAACAGATGAATGAAAATTACCCAGCATGTAGAAATTTCAGAAAGAAAAGACGAATTAAATTCATTTTTTTCCCAATGTTATGTGCAGTCATTTCTATGCCTCACGAAAACTTTCAATGGTAAAATCATTCCGTGACAGCAAAGAAGCGATGTTTTTTTTTTTTCTTTCCTTACAATATCCAAGAGTCAAGGTATAAAGGACAAAAGAAAAACTAAAACCAGCGCGTGAGGCTCCGTGACAATTTTGAACCAGTCGGATAATATAATGATTTTCATGGATGTAACAAGAGTTCATTGCTTATATAATTCAGTATTTTTTGAATGATTGCAAATTTAAAAAAAAAAAAGTGATTGTTTTACTTCAAATCTAAATTATGTTGGTTAATAGCGGCAGATAACTCAAGCAAATTTGAATAGACTATCCCGTCTTTTGTTCTGCTTATTAACCGCCTGAAGGAACTTTCTCATATAACCAATCACCATGAAACCACAGCAATGAAAAAATCACTTGTTAAACGTTTATCATTAGTAGATAAAGTGTAGAAGTTGGGCCTTTCCCTTATTGCTTCAAACCCCGTAGGCTTGTAAAACATGGATATTCGATTCATTGACGACCTTGCC